GCGAGAGAGAAACTGAAATAATAGCAATGACGGCGACCTTCCACCAAGGATTTTCAGGGAGGTAAATACGTTTTTGTGGATGATTACTTGTGACGTGAAGGTCTAAATAGATATAGTAAGCATAGGCAGGGTACGTAACACAGTAACTGAAAAAGAACGCAAGAAGGCTGCGATAATGAACAATTAGAGACAAAAATGATAATTTAGTATCAGGAATTATACAGTAACAGATAAGGAAAGCAAAAGAATGGAATAATAACTTACGCATAAAACGAGAATCTAAAAACAGTAAACGCTATATTGCCAGCAATATGGAATACAGCACCAATAATTAATAATAAAATTTGGTGAGGATGACTAAGTATCGCATGGTAAGACCTATGGTGAGAGAAAGGATCATCATCCTCAGGTTCAACAAGTTCTTCTAAATTGTCACGATGCTGCAGTCTAAGCTCGCGTAAAGTAGTCACATAAATACGAGTGAATTCAATAATAAGGGCCCAGTCGAAGCATAAACCTACAAAATTTAAATAGTAATGAAAAATGAGTATAAAATACATTTCACAACAAATACGTTTTTTTTTTTTTTTAAAAAAAAAAAAAAAAAACATGAAAGAAAAAATTTACCTTGGCCTTTGAACCACAAAGCATCATAGGGGAATTTGAATAAAATGCAAGTGATTGAAATGAAAGAAATGTAAAATCCGAGAAAAGGCCAAAATGCAGAATATCTAATCCTTCCACCAGAACCAAGCATAACAAGAATTGCGAATTCAGCAGCGTTATGGAGTACACCAACAGCGACCCATATTTTACCAACGCCAGCAATGAATATGGTGAGACCACATAAGAGTGTCAACACAATATACATAGCCAAGACACGATCAAAATCGGTTGTTGGAATTGAAGCGGCATCTCTATCACTTGTGCTATAAAAACGTGTGATAAGTTTACGATTGGTGGGAGGATTAAATGCCCATTTTAATCCAAAGTAACTGGAAACAAGCAAAAGAATTTGGTTGAATAGTAAAGTGGCATCAAGTTGATTAGGATCGTATCCTATTTATTATTTTAGCATTAAAACAATAATTCACTCATTAATTAATTAATCTTTGATAAAATAAAAATAAAATAATATACAAGTATTGAATTAGCATTTATCAACCTTTTAGTTTTGGAAGCCATGTCGGATAACCAGTGAACCGATAAGGGACTTGTTCTGGAACTTCAGGATTAACTCCAACAAAAGAAGCAAGAACGAGTGCTAAAGCCAAAAGAGACAAAGCGACAGCAAGACAATAACCAACTTTCATTTTTTATATTTGTTTTGTCGTTACGAAGAGAATTTCTTTCGTGAGATAGTATGTGTTTCTATCATGTAGATAAATATGTACCTTAATCTTTCAACAGTATTTATGTGGTACGCATCATCTTATCCGGAAGAGGTTGTTTATGCACTTACATAAAAGTATAAATAGAATTAGCCGCATTGGAAAGCCAAAAGTGAACACACATTAAGTTATTCCTAACGCTAAAAAAATAAATAATAGAGAATATCTGGCGGTAAATAATTGATCATATTATTTCAATTGTGAAACTATTTATGAAAATGTTTTCACAGTGTATTTGTTTAATCAAAAAAGATCTTTTTAATCAAAAATATTTTTATGGACATATTTGTTGTACAAGGTTCACGCTTAATTTATGCAAATGCAGAAAAGTTATGCATAGTGCAGTAGTGGCTAACGCTAATTTATAAAGTACCACGCGGGTGACAAATAATGTACAGAAAATGGGTCTATTAATAAGAATTCTTTTTTGTAAAATACGTAAGGTTTTCTTTAAATCTAAAATCCCTTGTATCCTTTATCTGTTATTCGTTAACTGTTAATTGTGTAGATCATATGGGGGTGAGTCAATAGAAATCAAGCAAATTTTTTATAATAAATTTTTTTTATAACTTTAAACAAAAATAACTTGATGAAAACTTGACCAAATTTGATAAAAATTTTTTTAAATAATTTTTACAAACTTGTAGAATTATTTTAAAAAAAAATTTATTGAATTTGATCAAGTTTTTGTTAAGTTATTCTTGTTTAAAATTTTAAAAAAACTAATTAAAAAATATTTGCTTGGTTTCTATTGACTCAACCCCATATACGTACGTGATGCTTAAATTCACGTGATTTAAGATTTATTAAAATTAGCAGTTAGTGTTAGATCAAGATTAACGTTGTGTTAATCGATAACAGATGAAACCATAAAAGGATAAAACAATCAATTAAAGTTAGCCAATCTCGGACTGATTTTAGGGCCTAACTTTAAATATTTTTGGAAATCAAATCAGCCCTCATTTTTTTTCAATTTTTTTTTTTTTTTAGATAAATTAAACCTCCTTGTTTGTAGTAAAAGATAAATGACCCGCTGGTACTAAACGCTAATACGTACGTACGTACATATTTTTTAAGGCGATTAGATGATTGTAATACCTTAACTATACGAAAAATTACAGACACGTGAATTTGGCCACAAACGTAATGAGAAGAATTAATGTAAATAAAGCCTATTGTTAGAATTAGGATATGATTAGAATAGGACAAAGTCGATATCAAAATTTTCCATGAATCTTTTTTTTGTCACAATACAACAGGTAATTTTATAATCAAAAGTTTGAATCAGCTACACTCGTTCCAGGGGTGTGTTTGGCATTGAACATTGATGTGGCGATCGATTAATCGTTATCGCCTCCTGCATCGTCTTCCCTACATCGATGCAACACTCCTATAAACTACGTACCTCAAACCGAAAAAAACATCATAATACACTGACTAAAAGACTGAATATAATACAAAATAACCAACAAAAGCTTACAAAAAAAACCGGGTAATTACGCGCAAATGGTTGGGTTGTGTCGTAAAAAAGAAAATTTAAGTACTTACGTACGTACGTACACGCATATCTGATATATCGTAGAAATTTATATATTTGATATATAGTGTACTATAGTAAGTTAAATTAAGAATATAAGGTTATTTATTTTAAAGTTTATTTGTCAAAATAAATAAAACCTGTTTTAGAATCGGCCTAAGATGTTTTTAAAATTGCTACGTATTTTATTTTATTTTTTTTAAAAAATAAATGTTATATAATATAAAACAAAAGGCTAGATTTAAAATTTATATTAAAGCATATTAGGTTTTAAAAATACCCGGCAACCCAGCTTTTAATTTTATCTTTAAAAAATTTTATATACTAGGAAGGTGTTTTATAGGGCTGGAACCTTACATATTAGATTTTAAATTAAAAAAAAAATTGTTAGTATTATCTATAGTTTACCTAACAATCACCAATAAAAATCTAATTCTAATGTGTTTTAATTTAAGCAACATATTTTATATTCACACGCATGCGGACAAACATAAATAATTCACAAAGTTATAAAGAAGGTAATCTCTGCTCTTCAGCTAACCTCTGTTGCAAACGCGCGCTTTTCCCCAATTTTTGTAATCTATCATAAACAATCTTGTATACAACAAATATAACCTTTAGCAAATTCCTTATCACCAATGTCTATTACAGTTTGTGATAATATTAAGTCCTGCAATTTATGAATCGTAAATGCCCAAGCAAGGCACAAAGGAAATTGTATATGAGAACAAATTCCAAATTACCCTTCCCAAGTATATTTAATTGAATGATACCACTTGTGAATCATCGATCATAGATAAAATTGGTCCCGTATAATTGTCCATTTTGTGTAGAATTAATGTAGGCAATTGAGGTGGCTTTTTTTCAAGTTCATATACAATATCAACAATTGTACTCATCGTGCTATTAACCAATCCTTGATTCATCCAAAGACTAGAGGTAAGCGTTATATGGGCTTCAACTAATAGAAACAAAACTGGCTCAAGACTATTTGTTATATTACTTTTCTAGCACCTGAGCCAATATATATAGCTTTTATTTTAGTGATAAGTAAATTGAGTTGTTTTAGTTTTATTATATTATATCTATAAACTTTTCTATTTAGTAAATAATCAAATTGCATTTTCAAATCTTGTTTTTCTGCTAAAGATATTAATAAATAAATTCTATTGTCAAGCAATTGTTAATTATTTACTGTTGATAGTTCATCTTGTAAGCACAAAAAAGATTACAAAATATATGTTGCTTTTCAAAAGTACTAGTTTGTTATTGTATTGTTTATAATTTAAATGCTTTACTAAGTTGAGTATATATATACTGTACAATTTGCTAAAAAAGAATTATTTGGTCAAGAATTTGATATATATGTCGTGCCTCAGATCAATTCTTGCGTCAGATTAAAACCGGCCTAAGTTAGATTAGGGTTAGGGTAAGAA